TCTGCAATGCGAGTTTTCGTTTGATTATTGTTACTAATATCAACTAATATGAGGAAGCCACATCTGTGTATTTTAACCCAAATAATTGGAGGATGAGTGTAGAATGGTGTGAGGTGCCTTGTGTAGCTTTATTACTGACCAGCTACCGGTATGTCATTCTGGTTCGACCTTACACTTGTTTAAAAACTCTGTGTTGCTACCAACGCAGCAAACCATCCTAACCAACAGATTCGACCAATAGAGACAATCGAGGAAATCATCACACATGACAGCATCAAGTAACTGAGACGTGGCTGTGGCGTTGTCAGTTAACACCTAGAGTCGCGGAATACGCGGAGGGAACGGTTGGTGTAATAGTACAGTAATTAGTGACGACTGCTTCCGTCAACAGTGGTAAGAACGATCACGAGCAGTACGGTAGAAGACTGGTAAACTCGAGTTGTCAAAGAAACAACACTGGCACAGATGACGTAAGGGCCATTACGGCTTACGTAAACATCGCACCACCGCAAACTACGCGGAATATAATATTATATAACCAACATAATATTTACGAAACGTGCATAGAAACCACCACAATACACTAGGCAAAGAAAGTATATATGGCCCAGTTAAGATTAGCCAAGGCACATGTGAGCCTTGAATGTTTGTCTCCCAATTTCAATTCAAGAGTTAGGTATAGTTGTTTGGCTGCAAGATTACGTTTTTAAGTTAGTTAACGCTTATGTCAAGAATGAGTCTGGGTGATTATAATCAGTAGCCTATGATTCTGAGAAAGTATTCTACAGCTTGATTTTTGAAGGTCCGAAACTAATCAAACTGCCTTCAGTTTGACATTAGTGATGATGGCATTGTTACTAAATCACTGACTAAACAGCACAAGGGATATCACCATCACTATAGACTACTTTCATCCTACATTAGGTCATCTTTCTTAATCAAGAATGAAAAAGGGGTTTACACACGAATTCGTCCCAACAGTAAAATAAATAACGAAGAAGCAGATAAAAAAGTCATTGCTGTATGAAATGGCTGAGGTGTTCGCGGATTACATGCCTTAAAAACAATATCATATATAATTTATATAATAATATCATAATCTATTTTGGAGGGTGGATTTTCTATTTTCCTATGTTTACGAACTCACTACCTTATTAACTATTTTACTATCTGCTCTGACCTCTATAACTACAAGTGTCAATAACCTTAGATGATGCAATGTTATATGACCCCTCAGCTGTCAAGTTATCACCGGGGGACTGAGGAGTGTTGAACAGTTAACGGTAAGGTATACAGAGGGACGAGCTGAGCTTCAGCATCGTCGCTTGCAATCTAAATTTGGACTAGCGTTTCGCTAAATTTAAACAACATACCGGTACAACCACCGGCCACTGCCTCTACAAGGCTGGAATGAAATGCGCACAAACCATACTGTAGTTCTATTCCTGAGTATAGCTAGGGGATGACTTGTGTGTATGTCAAAACGGCAATAATTAGTGGGCGTGTTGCTAGGACGAACGTCTCGGACTTCGGTGCGAGTGGGACGTGCACGACGTCCAGTGGGCTACATGAACCGTTTGACGGGTATTGGCAGCTTTCCTTTTTAGCGTTTGTGTTTCCATTTTTAACAAAAACGTAGACACGAAAAAACAATAACATTTATGCCATGAACCACCACGGGTTAAACTTCTACACATTAAGATTTCCTTTGCTGTGTTTGAAAAGCTTAACTACTGATTAAACAATTACAAACCAAAACCTATTAATGTCCCTGCAAAACTGCATGTTAGATGCAATGTTGTATGCAGTTTTGCAGGGACATTAATAGGTTCTAAAAACCTTTCCAATGGCTATCATTGCACCGGGAGAACTTAAAACGTATGTTCAATTGCACTAACTGCTGGATAATTCGTTCTTCATAAAAATTTACTTAACGCGAAGGAAATGCTTTGCATATGAGATGAAAATGGTTTTCACCGTACTGCAGCCAAAATAGCCGTTATAGGCCCCGGGTACGATACGAGCGGCGAGCGGCATGAGCGGCGAGCGGCATGAGCGGCGCCGCTCTGACATCGGGTCTCTGTTGCGTGTAAATTTGCTAGAGGGAGGGCTACAAGAAAAGTATTTTCGTTTTGTATGGTTTGTTCACAGATGGTACAGAGGAGACACGCTTATGAGACAATAGCCTTGGGATCTCAGCTCTCGTATGTTGGGGTTTGGGGCTGAACACACTAAGTATAATTATAATACAGTACAAATTGACAAATTGTGATGACCGAGGAAGGCCCCAAACGAATCCCTGCACAATGCTTGCTGTTTGCCAAACAGCAAGCATTGTGCAGGGATTCTATAGCACAGGGTCTTCCTCCACCGTGAACGTCAACGTTGTAGTACCACAGAAAACGTACTACGTTTTCTGTGGTAGTACGTATGGTGAGAGGGTCGGTACGGGACCAGCGCTAAGTCCGTAGGTACTAATGAAAGTTAAATTCATCACACGAGCCAAAATGTCTTTTCAACACTGGACCGTCATCTTATACCTACCTCAGCTTCACATCGGTCGTGAAACTTGAGGTGGAAAAGAATTATTTTACGCCCTAGTGATATTAGGCAGAAGAGACATGTCTTTAACCGGACAATGTTTATCAGCACATCGGTTTAACCGGACAAGATTGACAGGACGTGAACGATATAGGCCTACTGATATGACTTTTTTCATGGAAAAGATTTGAGACTAGGGATCGCATGACTAATTTTTTTTTTTTACGTATGGATCATTGTGCCTATCACTATAGCTTATACAGCATGTTAGAAAAGTTACCGGAAGGTTTAATATTGTAAGCCATTATTTAAAAGGGGGGTTTCACATTTCTATTTGGAGGCAACTGTTTTGACTGCCATTTTTGAGGATTTTCGAGAATTGCATAACTAATTAAGTAATATTTGGGGAAATTTTATTCTCTTTTTTTATTTATTTGTATACGGTATAACACCATTTTTACAGGGTTGACATGCTGATCAGATACAATATTGAAAGATCCTAATTAAATTTTCTTCCCTTCTGCCTTTTCTCATGCTCTTTTACTTTTTTTGTTATTTTGCAGGATTTATTGAAAGGCAGATAGGGACTAACATCACATGCTAATGGAAAAAAACTGGTTAAATAGCAAGCATAACAATGGATAGAATTGGTAACAATAACAATCGATAAATCATTATCATCATCTTCCAGGATATTACCCTTCACTTTGGTCAATTCAATCTTCTTCCATTTAAAAGTTATTTGCAAAAAATCTTAGAACAACCCTCGAATTATTTATAGTGGTGAAAAAATAATGAGTCAGAGAAATACCTATTTTGTTAAACTTTGTACATTATCTAGGCCTATACAGAGTTATGCTGGACGGAATTTATTGATTAAAAGGTCAATGGAAAGCTTAATAAAATGGAGATTTGCAAATAATTATGAAAGTTTGATATTCTAAACATTAATGGCTGTACAGTTGGTTGCCGGTATGCATCATCTGATTAAATATGAAACTGAAACATGTGTTAATTTAATAGCTGATTCTTGTGTTGTTATTTCATTGACCGTTTTTAAGTTACCATAGGTACATGTTGTTGTTCACAATTTGATTCGCTCAAGTAGGCCTACCTAAAAACTTCAACCATAAGTTGAATTGACGTGGTGCCTGCCAGCTGAGCATTTTCAAATTTTAGCCTAATTACATTTAGCAATTTTTTTTGTCCGAAAAATTCCGGATATCACAGTAGGACTGCTTGCGCACTCAGTCGTCACCTGACGTGGGATTTGACCCTCGCTGCTACCACCTGTTTAAAGGACCCTCCCTGCACCTGCCTTCCCACTAGGTCACCGACCTAAATTCCTGAATTTTCAATCAAAATAGCAGTTATAAGTCAGTACGAAAGATGATTGATTGATGTAAATCTTGTTAAATATTTCTGAGTAAATTAATGTGACTCAGCTTTTAGGCTAGCCTATAATAGGCACTGTCCTACTTAGTCTTTAAGTTTATTGTTGCGATGATAAACTTAAACTTATGACTAAGGTCGGAAAAACAAACAATTCTGACAACTTAGCAGTAAAAAGCTTCTTTTAAATTTTTTTTAGAAATTTACTTTTTTAATTTAGAAATCTCATCGGGCTTAGTAACTTAATACATTACCCACTGCTCGCGATCAAACTTAGATACCTACTTTATTTATAACTCAGTCTAGGTACGATGTGATTATACATTTTGAAAAATACTATTTAACTTAGTAAGGCCTAACTCAGCGTACAGTACCGGTAGGTAAATTAGCCCAAGTTACCAAAATATTCTTTAAACTTCAACTTTCTTCAACTTTAAACTTTCTTTAAACTTCTTTAACTTCAAGTAAGTTATAAGTTATGTACCGGTACCTTAACTTATTTATTGGAAAGGATAACTTAATCTTCCAATTGTGTCTTGATGTGAACAACTTGCATAAATAACTTACAGTTAAGTAATAATAGGTTACAGTAAGCCTAACTTAAGGTTCTTAACTTAAGTTAACACTAATAAGTTAAGGATAAGTTATATTTTTGTAGTTATGAGCATTTAACTTAACTTACTTACTTTAACTTTGGCTTACTTATTGATATTGGACAATGTGTTAAGTTAATGGATAACTTAGGTTATAAAAACCAATTAACTTAAGTTATTGTTTTTGTAACTTTAGCCTATCCAAAAAGGAATAACTTAGGCTACATGAGTCCAAATTAAATAACTTATTAAGAATAATTTCTACAATAAACTTAGCTTGGCTTAATTAACTTAACATAATAATTAAACTTAATTGAAACTACAGTAACTTAGGCCTAAGTTAAGTTAATAAGTAAGCACTTTGAAATTATTGAGATTAGGTGAAAAATTTAAATAATTAGGCCTATACATTTAAACTGAGATAGAAATTTAATTTAAATAAAAAAACTATAAGCACTAAAATCCAAATCCTACCTGTAAATCCTTGTGTTTGTTATCCTTATGACTTGCAGCACGTACAACTCCCGCCCTCCATCCCCACTCACTTATTTTTGATAATTTTAACTTTGTAAAACCACTAACAGACAAAAAACGTTTACCTACTATTTCATCTCTATATCTGAAGGCCATTATATACACTTTTTTAACATATTCAATTCACAAAACTCCACAAATGTCAAACTTTATCATCACTACACATTTGACACTTGTACACCACCACGACTCGCGCCTTGATACTTGAGAAAATACTGTGCAGCCGGTGCACGAAGACCTACATTAGATTCCGCCTCTGTAGGACGACGAAAAGTAGTTCCATATCACGTGACCACAACAACGTTTACGTCACAGATACAGACAGCCCCAACCAAGAAGCAAGCAGCTTTTCAAATATGGCTGTTGGATAGCGAATTGCCTCTCAACTGAAGAGCTGGTGCTTTCAAGACTTTTGTTCTGTGATTTATATTGTTACAATCTGCTTTGATGCTTCCAAACTATGATATCTGCAATAATATCACGTTTAGTGATGTAAGTATATAATAAGTATTATTGTTATTATTAGCAGTTCTTTTTCGAACGTAATGGTCTTTCTTTACATGAACGGTTTTCATTGTTTGCCTGTTGCTACGGGTTAAAAATATCCCCTCTGTACCTGATCATACACGAATGAAATGAAATAATTATTTCTATAAGCCTAGGTATTGTCATACATTAAAGAACAGTTGTTTTCAATCAGTGGTCAAATCGATTCTATCATTGTGCTCTGTTTTTAAAACCTAACTTGAAGGCCTAGCCTAAAGCTCTTAAAACCTAGGCCATAAGACAATTCCCAAAATAGAATGCATCAGAGGCTAGGCTAGGCTCATTCTAATTTGCTATCAAGGTTTCTCGTATTATGCAGTGCTAAGGCAACCTCTTTTAAGTTATCCTGGGTACAGTTCTTAACTAAGTAGGCTAACTTATGCTAACATAACTTAATATCAATTGGAAACATCGATTAAGCTTAATAACTTAATCAGTATTTTGGTATTTCTGAACTTTCTTTTAAACGTTTTTGGTACTACAGTTTCTTAACTGGGCTATGCTAATATTGATTGAAACTATCGATTCGATTAGTAAAACCTTCATGCGATTTTTTAACCATCAGCAAGTTCAGGGTGTCCACAAAAAATTTGTCATTAATTTCCATGACTATCCATGACCATTTACCATTGATTTCCATGACTCACGAACTTTACATGCAAATTACAATATAACATACACACACAAATAATACTGCCTGGACATGTTATTTTGCAGAAAATACTGAAATATGTAATAACAGATAACAATGGAGTAGGTACAATAGGTACAACAGTGAACTAAAAGAAACCGAAAACTCATAGAATAATACAACTATAATAAATTGAATTGTCGAACATTTGTGAAAAATCCTGAAAAATGCTTCAACAGTCCGGGTTACGGCTGACTAGATCATTGAATGGTCCCCTCAAATACATCCATAATTGGAAATTTCCACGACTTTCCATGACTTCTTGCCTATTTCCCTGACTTTCAATGACCAAAATTTTTTTCCATGACTATCCCTGACTTTCCAGAATGTGGACACCCTGAGTTTGGTTGGTTAGGTTAGGTTATGATAGTTTTATTTTATAATTGATATATTTAAAAAATATCGATTATTAATCAATATTTTCAATTCGATAGTTTCAATCAATATTAGCATAGCCCAGTTAAGTTACTTAAGAAACTGTAGGCCTACGCAAATTTTTTAAACCATTCCTACAATCTTGATAAACAAGAAAATACCTTTATAACATTTTTTTAAGGCGCAGAATTCACAGCAAATAGTGAAAATATACGGAACTGCTTTCTCAATGCGCGGAGCATATCGCACGTCAAGAAACAAGGAGCGGAGTGAAACAGACCGGTGACTACCGGTACTTACTCTTGGGCACCTATTTGTGTTGCCAGCTGATGAGAAATAAGGATTTAAGTTAACCCTCCGCGCGTCAGCCGCCCGATTTCGGGCGGGTCCGTCTGGGCCAGCAGCGTCACCCGCCCGAAAACGGGCGGGTCTGCAAACTCTTCGTTTCGTTGATTTTAAAGCCGTTCAAGCGCTAGAATCGGGTCACTATCTTTACTCTACGTTTAGGGGGATTGCTAGGCTTCATGACAAAACCATATGACGGCCGTTTACTACTGGTCTGTGACTAAAAATCAGAGCATCTGTTAGTTTGTGATGTCGTCATTTGTTGTGGTTACGGTTACGTGAGTTGTCGTGAGTTTGTTTTGGTTTATGTTTACAAAATGTGTGATGATTTGAGATCTAGTGAAATTAGGGAATTGTTGAATGAAGAAATAAGTGATATTGACGATGATAATGTTGAAGATGACTTCGATTTAGGTTTACCGCCTCAGAATATTGATTCAGACTCAGAATCGTTACTGGACTTTTCAAGTGGAAGTGGGGAGGAATACATTCCTGATTACGATGATTTGGACACTAGTGATAGGGAGCAAGATGTTGATGATCCAGGGGAGCCTGAAGTACCTGTAAGTGTGCCTAGTAATGATGTACCTAGCAGTAGTAAGCCTAGGCCTAAGAAGAAAAAAGGTCCTCCAAATTTGCTCTGGATTCGAGTTTATCCACCAGAACCTGAAAAGGAGATCGAATCAAAATTTACTAGGAGGAACACTGGCATACAAAATCTCCCACCTAGAAATAGTAGTTGTATTGAATACTTCTATCTTTTCTTTACCCAGGCTATCTGGAACATAATTTGTCAGTGTACAAATGCGTCGGCAAGGAAAGCGCTTCAAAGACAAAACTTGTCCCCACAATCAAGAATAAAAAGATGGACTGACTGTACTGTTGCAGACATAAAGAGGTTTTTTGGGTTGTTCATAAACATGGGGATTTGGAAACTCAAGAACATAACAGGCTACTGGGATACGAGAGAATCTCAGTCGCACCCATTTTTTGCTAAGACGATGAGCTACAACAAGTTCGCATTAATTTTGTGGAACCTCCAACTTACCAACAACAATGGACATCCAAGAGGCCATCCAGAATTCGACCACTGGTTCAAAGTAAGATATCTGTTAGACCATTTAAACAGAGCTTTCAAAAAGTATTTTGTCCCCGGACAGAATGTATGCCTGGACGAGAGCCTTATAGGCATGAAAAACCGTTGTTCTTACATACAATACCTCCCGAAAAAAAAACACAAGCAGTTTGGAATCAAAAAATTTGAGACCTGTGATTCTGCCACTAACTATGTCTTGCACCTTGAAATGTACAGTGGAGCAGATTTCTTGATCGATAAACCAGGGCCATTTGTACAAAAATGTGTGTTAGAGGTAATGGAGAAAAGTGGTCTCCTCGACAAAGGCCATCATCTGTTCACCGATCAATTTTACACTAAAGTACCTCTAGCATTAAAGTTACATGAAAGAAACACCTACCTTACTGGAACTATAAATAAGAATTCTCAGTATCTTGCAACAACACTGAAGAATACTGAATTGGAAGCTGGACAAACTCTGTACTTCAGGCATAAAGATGTCCTTCTCGTTTCGTTCAAGCAGAACGCGTCAAGAAAATCGGTTTTTGCCCTGACCACTGCTTGCCACGCCGAGGACAAACTTGTCCAGAGCAAAAAAGGGCAACAAGCAGTAAAACCTGTTCTTATCCATAGATACAACCAATACATGGGTGGGGTAGATGTAAGTGATAAAAGTATCTACCACACCTCATGCACTCGCCCGACGAAGAAATATTGGAAGAGAATCTTCTATAATTTACTGGATATTGCGCTTTTCAACTCATATGTGTTGTATTCGTTGAATACTGACAAGCCAAAGAGTAGAAAGGATTATTTAGTTGATATTGTGGAAACCCTGGCTAATACAAGAGACATAGGTCCGACTGCAGGACCATCAGGAGACACCGCGCACCAAATGCAGCAAGTGCCTAACAAATCAAACAGAGTATGTGCTGTATGCTGCAGAAAGGCTACATACTGGTGTCCAGGCTGCAATGTAGGCATCCACAAAGAGTGTTTTCATCTACTTCAGCACTATTGGAGGCCTTTACAAGCCAAAAAGAAGAAGAAAGTGTCGGAACTCCAGTAGGTCTAAACGAACCCCAGGCAGTGCGGTTTTTAGTCTTGTATATAGTTGTTTAATTTTTATTTTTTTCCGTAATTTGTGATGTAACCCTTATCAAAGTGTATATTTTTTTGTTTGCAAGTGAACTATGAACAAAATGCTGGTATCTTGGATTTTTGAGTTAGTGTATATAGAGTTTTTTACATAGGGGGAAACCAAGTGTTTATATACATTTTTTGACAACTTTCGGATTCGGACCTATACCAGAGACCTGATAAATAAGGTAAGGATATCAAATATGTATTTTTTAGATAGGCCAGTTTGTCTAGTTTTAGAAAATGTGTAACCTTTTACCTGCCAGTCATTATTTATATATTTTATTTTGTTTGAACTAAAACCTTGCATAATCACTGAAAATCGCTGCGTTTTTTTATCGTGTATATAGTTGTTTAATTTTTAGTTTTTTCTATAATTTGTGAATTAACCCCTAACAAAGTATATATTTTCTTGTTTGCAAGAAAATTTGGAACAAAATGTATATCTTGGATTTTTGAGTAAGTACACCTTGAGGTTTTTACATAGGGGGTCAACAAGTATATATATAATTTTTTTTGCAACTTTCGGATTCGGACCCATACCAGAGACCTGATAAATAAGGTAGGGATATCAAATATGTATTTTTTAGATAGGCCAGTTTGTCTAGTTTTAGAAAATGTACAACATTATACCTGTTAGTTAATTTTTATTTATTTTATTTTATTTTAACTAAAACTTTGCTATATCACTGAAAACCGCTTGACCTTTTGAGGTCATATAATGGACCCTTGGAGGGTTAATAAGCGATATATTGAACCGCATCAAAAACAATATTTAATCCGATAATACCTCACAGGTTATACCTACGTTGAATACTGTGGTGTCATGACTGTTAGTATCTTAACTTAGTATTGTTCCTCTCAGTCAGCGAAGCTGAGGTGATGTCAATGTATGGCCTGGCAAAAACAGCGCTAGAGCTTGTGCGTTTCCTGGTGAAGCCTGGGGGTAGGGTTGAAGCCCATACAAAACCGGTTTTGAGCCACTCTCACCCCCTACCCCCCAGGCTTCACCAAGAAACGCACGAGCTCTACCATATTGATCATGAGGTTGTAACGTGCCTATTTTGAGGGGGGGTCAAACTAGCCTACTCCTATGTCTAGCCTATCCCTAAGCATAGCCTACCAGCCCTAACTAAGGTTATACAAGGACGACAAGCACGAGCAACGGGCAGGGGACCAATGCCCCCACGTAGTACGTCACATTTATGGCGCCCGAACGAACGACGGCAACGAAAGGTATTCCTGCAACGAGCAGGATACCAATACGACAACAGTGACAGGGGTCCGTGCGATGAGCCGGATTCCCAGACGACAGCACCG